GGTCGCAGCTGGCGTCGATGGTCAACTTCCAACGTCTGGGAACCAACGAGCGTGCGTGGGATTTCCACCTGGACAGGCATCGAGCGAGCGTTTCTGCAGCCAGTGGTGTCGTCTGAGTCACAGGCGTAACTACACACAACCACCGTCTGCATATAAAACAGCAGTCTGCGCTGCCAAGCCATCACACACCTCTGGCATCCAGCCGCATCAACGACGCTAGCAGCTGCTTGCAGAATATCAGGTATGTATGACTCCCCTTCCCAACAGATTTACGGACAAACACCTACATATGCAGCTAAAGGGTGAAGTCTCCGATCATTGCAGTTGCATCACGTCAAATCAACCTCTTTGAAGGTTTCGTTCATGAACGACGTGTACGTGGTGTGGTATTATGGGTGCATGTTTGAAGTTGCACAGCTTGCTGCCCGCAGTTAGAATTGTGTACATCGCCATTCGGAGCTCCATTGCTTGCATACGTAACGCCTCTGCCTGGCTATCCAGTAACACTGGCGTCCCTTCTCTCTCAGCCATGAAGTATTTCGCCGTGCTGGCCACGCTCGCCGTCCTGTCGGCGGCCGATGGTAGGCGCCTCTTCAAGCGGCCGCAGCTGTTCCGTCCAGTGTTCGTCGGCGGCGACGCCTCCGGCCAGGCCGACGGCTCCGTCACCTCCGGTGTCTCGGAGACGGCGTTCGGACGAGACCAGATCGACTCGGCCGTCTCCAGCGTTCGCGGCCAGGCCAACGGTCTGGGCAGCAGCAGCACCAACACGGCCAACGCCGACACGCGTCACTCCGAGAGCGCGCTGGGCGTGCAGCGGACCTCCGACACGAATGCCGTCTCGGTGCAGGACAGCAACGGCGCCGTGCTGCTGCCGGTCGGCGGTCTGTTCCAGCGGCCGTCGCTGTTCAAGCCGGCGCTGCTGCTCGGCGGCGCGGCGTCCGGCTCCGCCGACGGCTCGGTGACGACCGGCACGTCCGATGGCGTCAACGGCTTTACCCGCGTCACGTCCGTCACGTCCAATGCCGACGGCAGCGTGCACGGCAGTGGCAGCAGCGTGAGCGTGGCCAACGCCAGCAACCAGCGCACGGAGACGGTCGATGGCGTCTCTGAGACGTCCGACACGGGCGCTGTCTCGGTGCAGAACACCGGACGCTGAACGCACTGCATCATATGGTCGCGAGTCATTGCTCAATGTTCGTCGCGGTTTGAGAAGAGGGATGAACTCTCATGGCTTGTTTACTGTTGGTGCCGTGTATTGTTAATGGCTGTCAAGTATTACCCCCAAAGATGAAGACACGACGTGCAATACAAATCGATGATATGAGACTGACGAGCATTTGCAAGGCGCTGTTCGACAGTGCGTCACAAGGCGTTTCCAAGGAAGACGTCGCTCGAGATGGCGTCGCCAAACATGTGGTATGACTTCATAACACTGACTTACCTTTTGTACTCTGCCAGCGCAAGACAGTACAAAAGTATCTTCATATAGCACACTATTTCTTTTTTGCGTTCACGTTAGCATCCAAACGAACTAGTAAATCCCGCGCCTTCAGTCTGGACATAGGTCGCCGCCTCAAGGTACGGGTCTGAAGTATCTTTTTCACTTCACTTGTGTGTACACCTGTGTTTGATGGCGTGCGTCGTGCGACTCGGTGTAGCAGACACCGTCATGGGACGAAGAAGTACACAATCTTCAAAAACTAGCGATATCTGGGCCCTAGATCGACCCTACTCTTGAGGGCGCCGTATTAAATAGCGCACGGGCAGTGCCGTCCGCCTGTGGTTCTTTCATGGTCCATTAATGCACCCACAATGGTAATTCCACGCGAAAACAATGCATTCCCATGCATTGTATTCATCCTGGTTCTGTTTCTACGCCTTTTTCAGAGAGGCTGGGATGAACATCTAGACAGAAGAGAGAAGCTGAAGACACCTAGAAGTATTGTGCGTTTTACCGGATTATACTTGCATGATTTGTTGATGTGTGCTGCATGATAATCATGCAGTTCAAAATGGATGTCCGATACCCACACGTGGCCAACATAGAGCTTGTCGAGAGGTTCTTCGATCCACTGTGGAAATGGCCTGCCTTTGTTAAGGTAGGTGCCACCAAAGGAATTTCTTGACAGACAGGGGAATACCCAGCTTGGTGCATTTTGCTCGCCGAAAATTGTCGCTTCATGAGAGTTGCCCAGCGGCATTACGCACATTGAGCTAGTTTCTGTTGGAGCTTGCACCAAGCGACTTTAACGTCATGCTGCTAATAGACACCGACATATTTGTCCTGCGCAGTAACAGGACTGCAGCTGGTCTCAGGTAAAGGCCAGGATGCTATGCAGACAGGGACCCATCACCGGCTTTTCATCTTTTTGTAGAGTTGCGTCTCTTAGCATCAAGACAACTCCAAACAATGGAGCTGGGAAAGGGAAGAAGGAGCCTATTGCTGGAGGACCTTGCCGCCAATATTCCTGGCATCTCACCTCTCCAACATCCGCATAAGTAATGCAGAGCAGGGGATGTGGAGCAAAGAAACTACCAATTAAATATAGATGTAAGTACAAGAGGACCAAGTTAACATGGCTGAACCTTTCAACCACTGTGAAAATGGTTTCTGCGTAGCTGTCTTGCATGTTTCATGGTTCCACACCGTTCGAATTACCGCTTCACTAGCTAGGCCAAACAATTTTGTTCGCATAACTGCACCTTCCAAAGCCGCCGTACACATGGCACAGCTATCATGACCCAGACCTTCCCATGATGTCCTGAGTGAATACACGCCGAGCTATTACGGCTCGGGTCCACGCCACGATGCTCTTGCTTGATGCACACCAGTTCCGGCCAATACCGCCTGTCACGTGGCTGCCTACGTACAGCCGCGGACACGGCAGGCGGTTTCATGCAGGGTCGTGCCTGATTCAGGTAGGACTGGTTTTGATCTACCCCATGCCAGCTACGTATATTTCACTAGATTTTTCAGCCCTCTTATTCAGAATCGGTCTCTTTCCAGTCGGCTTTATTCGGAGCCGGGCTTCGGGAGTCACAGTCGGTCGCGAACCATTTGGTTTCCAACGATGGTGATAAACTGCTTACCAAATCCGAGGAAATGACGTCACAGAACTCCGCGCCGCCTCTCTCGCATCAGGAACTTCTCTCCCTGGCGGACGTGTACGGGACCAACTGTGAACGCTATGAACCGAGAGTTGCGAACATTAAGAACTGTACACGTCGGGATCCGTGAACATTAGGTACAGTAAACATTAGGTGTGAGCATGAAAACTGCGAACATTGTGAGCTGTTGACATTATGAGCTTCTGACTTTCTCACGCAACAACAATATTAGCATCTTATCCCCATGAACCATCTTTAGCACAGGACGTTAGTTATAAATATATGGAGATCCAGACTACCCAACGGAAACGTGGCATATACCCCGTTTAATATTTTATATTTGGAAGTCAAAGCTGGAGTGTCACATTCAAATGAATGCCCCGGTGTGCGGGAGGGGATAGGTTCAGCAGGAAATCTTCCTGTTTGGATAGACTGCCCATTTCCTTACCCGCATTGTTCATGTCCTCTATACGAGAGCGTTCTTTTGTATGTGATACTCGAGTTTTGACTGTCAATTATATCGTCTTAAGCAAAACACATTCTGTGCTGGTTTTTGGATGCTAAGTCTTCATGCATTTTTTCATGAACGCGCAAACACCAGGTAACATGCCTTTGTCACAGTCATCGAAAAGTGTGAAACATCGAAAATTGTGACTAAATGAACTTCTACATAGCTTTGGGGTTAAAGTTTAATTGCATGCGCAGTTACGGTATTTGCATGATGATGGTGTTGTGTGTTTTTCTTTTCAAGCTGAAAACTGTGCGTGTGACTTTTAGGCCCAACGATGCAGCTGTTGTCAGCATTGAAACGCGGTGTATATATTTTCACATGTACTAAACAAAGTGCTAGTTTGGCCGTATGCTTGCCACAAGGATGCACCACAAGAATTGTATAGAGGAGAGGAATCAACACATTTTGTGCGGCGTACTCTTCAGTGAGACAAATACAAGGGTGGTGTTCATAGATATTTGCAACAACAAAAAAACTCTTGACTTGGCCATAGCTCCCAAACGACAGGTGTTCTGAGTGAACAATCCTTTCTTGGCAATGTCATCTAACCATTACCCCCTACCGTACTGAATACTCACTATTTCGGACATAAGAGTCAAAGACTTTCTTGCCTATTTCAACTTTTATTGCGTGTCAAAGCACTGGTCGAATTAAATTTGAATACGGCCATCGGCCATCCGTCGAGTTGCTAGCCTCTACGTACTCTGTCTCCCAAGTTATCGACCCGTTTGTTGAGAAGGTGTGCAAGATCAGTGTCACTTTCACCAAGTGCATCCTAGCAGTGAAAACGAAACATGTACCATGGTCTCCTGCCCGTACGCGTCAGACATCTGCCATTGTGCATCAAGACTGGTTGATTTACTGAGAGGTTTCCTTTTTGGTAAAATGCGCCCCATTCTAAGCTGTTCACAAAAATGCAACTGGATATTGATTTCTAAAGGAGTATTATTTCTCTCAAAGAAAACAATTCTGGAATCAACCGATTGTTTAGAAGATAGTTGACATTGCTGGCGGTGAACAACGTGGTCGAAATCTGGGGAAAGTGTTTAGAGGTTGAACGGGCCAATTTTATCCATCACCACCGCCATCCCCCGCACCCTCATCCATACCCCTCACCACCCACTCCCCCACCCTCAGCCGATTTTAGAACTTGACGACACTTTGGGCTTCCCTGGGGTTTTCCAACAGCGTTCGCAGCTGGCGACAATGGTCAACTTCCAGTAGTCGCGAACGTCTGGGAACCAACGAGCGTGCGTGGGATTTCCACCTGGGCAGGCACTGAGCGAGCGTTTCTGCAGCCAGTGGTGTCGTCTGAGTCACAGGCGTAACTACACACAACCACCGTCTGCATATAAAACAGCAGTCTGCGCTGCCAAGCCATCACACACCTCTGGCATCCAGCCGCATCAACGACGCTAGCAGCTGCTTGCAGAATATCAGGTATGTATGACTCCCCGTTCCCAACAGATTAACAAACACCTGCATACGCAGCTGAAGGGTGAAGTCTCCGATCATTGCAGCTGCATCACGTCAAATCAACCTCTTTGAATGCTTCGTTCATACACGATGTGTACGTAGTGTGGTATAACGGGTGCATGTTTGAAATTGTGCAAGTTGCTGCCCTCAGTTACAATTGTGCACATCGCCATTCGGAGTTCCACTTTTTGTATCCGTAACGCCTCTGCCTGGTATCCAGTAACACTGGCGTCCCTTCTCTCTCAGCCATGAAGTATTTCGCCGTGCTGGCCACGCTCGCCGTCCTGTCGGCGGCCGACGGTAGGCGCCTCTTCAAGCGGCCGCAGCTGTTCCGTCCAGTGTTCGTCGGCGGCGACGCCTCCGGCCAGGCCGACGGCTCCGTCACCTCCGGTGTCTCGGAGACGGCGTTCGGACGAGACCAGATCGACTCGGCCGTCTCCAGCGTTCGCGGCCAGGCCAACGGTCTGGGCAGCAGCAGCACCAACACGGCCAACGCCGACACGCGTCGCTCCGAGAGCGCGCTGGGCGTGCAGCGGACCTCCGACACGAATGCCGTCTCGGTGCAGGACAGCAACGGCGCCGTGCTGCTGCCGGTCGGCGGTCTGTTCCAGCGGCCGTCGCTGTTCAAGCCGGCGCTGCTGCTCGGCGGCGCGGCGTCCGGCTCCGCCGACGGCTCGGTGACGACCGGCACGTCCGATGGCGTCAACGGCTTCACCCGCGTCACGTCCGTCACGTCCAACGCCGACGGCAGCGTGCACGGCAGTGGCAGCAGCGTGAGCGTGGCCAACGCTAGCAACCAGCGCACGGAGACGGTCGATGGCGTCTCTGAGACGTCCGACACGGGCGCTGTCTCGGTGCAGAACACCGGACGCTAAACCCACTGCATCATATGGTCGTGAGTCATTGCTCAATGTTCGTCGCGGTTTGAGAAGAGGGATGGACTCCCATGGCTCGTTTGCTGTTGATAATGTGTGTTGTTAATGGCTGTCAAGTATTACCCCCAAAGATGAAGACACGACGTGCAATACAAATTGAGGATATGAGACTGACGAGCCTTTGCAAGGCGCTGTTCGACAGTGCGTCACAAGGTGTTTCCAAGGAGGACGTCGCTCGAGATGGCGTCGCCAAACATGTGGTATGACTTCATAACACTGACTACCTTTTGTACTCTGCCAGCGCAAGACCGTACAAAAGTATCTTCATATAGCACACTATTTCTTTGTTGCGTTCACGTTAGCATCCAAACGAACTAGTAAATCCCGCGCCTTCAGTCTGGACATAGGTCGCCGCCTCAAGGTACGGGTCTGAAGTACCCTTTTCACTTCACTTGTGTGTACACCTGGTTTTGATGGCGTGCGTCGTACGACTCGGTGTAGCAGACACCGTCATGGGACGAAGAAGTACACAATCTTCAAAAGCTAGCGATATCTGGGCCCTAGACCCTACTCTTGAGGGCGCCGTATTAAATAGCGCACGGGCAGTGCCGTCCGCCTGTGGTTCTTTCATGGTCCATTAATGCACCCACAATGGTAATTCCACGCGAAAACAATGCATTCCCATGCATCGTATTTATCCTGGTTCTGTTTCTATGCCTTTTTCGGAGGGGCTGGGGATGAACGTCTAGACAGAAGAGAGAAGCTGAAGACACCTAGAAGTATTGTGCGTTTTACCGGATTATATTTGCATGATTTGTTGATGTGTGCTGCATGATAATCATGCAGTTCGAAATGGATGTCCGACACGCACATGTGGCCAACATAGAGCTTGTCGAGAAGTTCTTCAATCCACTGTGGAGATGGCCTGCCTTTGTTAAGGTAGGTGCCACCGAAGGAATTTCTTGGCAGACAGGGGAGTACCCAGCTTGGTGCGGTTTGCTCGCCGAAAATTGTCGCTTCATGAGAGTTGCCCAGCGGCATTACGCACATTGAGCTAGTTTCTGTTGGAGCTTGCACCAAGCGACTTCAGCGTCCTGCTGCTAATAGACACCTAAATATTTTTCCTGTGCGATAACAGGACTGCAGCTGGTCTCAGGTAAAGGCCAGGTTGTATGCAGACAGGGACCCATCACCGGCTTTTCATATTTTTGTAGAGTTGCGTCTCTTAGCATCAAGACAACCCAAGCCATGGAGCTGGGAAAGGGCAGAGGGAACCTATTGTTGGACGGCCACTTACCTTGCCGCCAATATTCCTGACATCTTACCTCTACAACATCCGCATAAGTAAGACTTGCTTACGGAAGCAGGAGGTATGGAGCAAAGAAACAACCAATTGTATATAGATATAAGTATAAGATGACCAAATAATATGGCTGAACATTTCAACTGCTGTGAAAATAGTTTCCGCGTAGTTGTCTTGCATGTTTCAAATAGAAATCGAGAATATGAAACTGACGAGCCTTTGTTGTGCGTTGTTTGACAGCGTGTCACAAGGCGTTTTCAAGGAAGACGTCGCCCGGTTGCCAAGACGGAAGCGGGTAGCGTGCCGACCACCGAGGAACTAGGTCACCACTGAGCTCAGGCTTTATGCTGTTCTTTTGCAGAATAAGAGCTATTTTTGTGTCTTGTGGATGCAGCTGCCCGAGACCTTCGCTCGTCAGTCAGCTATGTTAACTAATGAGTCGAGCAACTGTTCTCGCAGATCTGGCTGGTTAACGAAATAAAAATATACCCAACCATTGCTATCCCATTTTATATCATGATGTACTATTTATGTATGCATCTTCCATATAACAGCTGCTACGAATTTATATTAACATAGGTCACTGTATGTCGCATGTTTTAAGCATCTGTTTAACACAATATGCTTTCAACGACAAAGCGCGTAGGGGAGATGCAGCGCCTTCTGCCGGGATATAGGCCGCCGCCCCCGAGCACGGGTATGAGGTATCCCTTTCACTTCACTGCCGCGCACCAGCCTGCCTGGTGTGTGTGACGTTCGACGTACGACTCGGTGTAACAGAGGCCCCTTAATCGGACGACAAGTGCAAAATCTTCGGGAGCTTGAGAGTCTGGACCCGAGACCCTACTCTTGCGAGCACTATTCTAAATAGCGCATGGACAACGCCGTCGGTCTGTGGTTTACACACATTCCGCTAATGCACCTACTAGGGTAATTCCATGTGAAAACGATACATTCCGGCGCATTGCTTCTATGCTGGTTTCGTTGCCATGCTTTTCAGGGGGACGGATGTCTAGGCAGACGCGAGGAGGCAACTAAGAAATACCTAGTGGCGAGATACTGCATATTTTCCCGGAGTATATTTGCGCGGTTTGTTCCTGTGAGCCGTATGGCAAACATGCTGTCCGACATTGATGTGCGACACGAACGTGTGGCCAGCATAAACTCGTCCTGAGGCCTTTCCACCCGCCGCGGAAATGGCCTGCTTTTGTTGAGGTAGCTGCCACCAAAGGGAATTGATGGCAGAGAGAACACACCCGGCGTGGCACGTCTTGTCCGCCGAAACTAGTCTCTTGATAGGAACCAACCAACGTCACTACGCACATTGGTCTAGTTTCTGTTGAAACTTCCATCGAACGACTTCAGCGCCATGTTGCTAATGCGCACCTGCATATTTGTCCTGTGCATTAGCACGACCGCAGCTGATCTTAGGCAAAGGTCAGATGATATGCATGCAGGCACCCGACCCTGGCTTTTAATCCTCTCGTAGAGTGGCGGCTCCTACTACCAAGACAACCCTCTGCCATGGGGTGGGGAAAGTGCACAGGGAACCTAGTGCTGGCAGTGCTATCTGCCTTGCCGCAGATATTGCTGGTACCTCACCTCTACAACATGCGCATAAGTAAGACTCGTTATGGAACAGGATGTATGGAGCATAGAAAGAAAGCAATTGAATATAGATATACGGCCAACAGGATCGAATGAGTATTACTGAGCATTTCAACCACTGTGAAAATGGTTTCTGCGTATCTGTCTTGCATGTTTCATGGTTCCACGCCGTTCGAACCACTTACTTCACTACTTAGGCGGAAAAATTCTGTTCGCATTGTTATGCCTTTCAAAGTCGCAGCCGTATACATGGCACAGCTATCATGACCCAGACCTTCCCATGATGTCCGAGTGAATACACGCCGAGCTATTGCGGCTCGGGTCCACGCCACGATGCTCTTGCTTGATGCACGCCAGTTCCGCCCAGTACCGCCTGTCACGTGGCTGCCTACGTGCAGCCGCGGACACGACTGGCGGTTTCATGCAGGGTCGTGCCTGATTCAGGTAGGACTGGTTTTGATCTACCCCATGCCAGCTACGTATATTTCACTAGATTTTATCAGCCCTCCTATTCAGAATCGGCCTCTTTCCAGTTGGCTTTATTCGGAGCCGGGCTTCGGGAGTCACAGTCGGTCGCGAACCATTTGGTTTCCAACGATGGTGATGAACTGCTTACCAAATCCGAGGAAATGACGTCACAGAACTTCGCGCCGCCTCTCTCGCATCAGGAACTTCTCTCCCTGGCGGACGTGTACGGGACCAACTGTGAACGTTATGAACCGAGAGCTTCGAACATTAAGAACTGTACACGTCGGGATCTGTGAACATTATGTACAGTAAACATTAGGTGTGAGCATGAAAACTGCGAACATTGTGAGCTGTTGACATTATGAGCTTCTGACTTTCTCACGCAACAATATTAGCGTTTTATCCCTATGAACCATTTTTAGCACAGGACGTTAGTTATCAAGATATGGAGATCCAGACTACCCAACTGCAGCGCGGCATATGCCCCGTTTAATATTTTATATTTGGAAGTCAAAGCTGGAGTATCACATTCAAATGAATGCCCCGGTGTGCGGGAGGGGTTAGGTTCAGCAGGAAGTCTTCCTGTTTGGATAGACTGCCCATTTCCTTATCCGCACTGTTCCTGTCCTCTATACGAGAGCATTCATTTGTATGCGATACTCGAGTTTTGACTGTCAATTATATCGTCTTAAGCAAAACACATTCTGTGCTGGTTTTTGGATACTAAGTCTTCATGCATTTTTTTATGAACGCGCAAACACCAGGTAACATGCCTTTGTCGCAGTCATCGAAAAGTGCGAAACATCGAAAATTGTGACTAAATGAACTTCTACATAGCTTTGGGGTTAAAGTGTAATTGCATGCGCAGTTACGGTATTTGCATGATGATGGTGCTGTGTGTTTTTCTTTTCAAGCTGGAACCTGTGCGTTTGATTCTTAGGCCCAACGATGCAGCTGTTGTCAGCATTGAAACGCGACGTACATATTTTCACATGTACTAAACAAAGTGCCAGTTTGACCGTATGCTTGCCACAAGGATGCACCACGACAATTGTATAAAGGAGAGGAATCAACACATTTTGTGCGGCGTACTCTTCAGTTAGACAAATACAATGGTGGTGTCCATAGATATTTGCAACAACAAAAAAACTCTGGACTTGACCATAGCTCCCAAACGCCAGGTTTTCTGAGTTAACAATCCTTTCTTGGCAATGTCATCTAACCATTACCCCCTACCGTACTGAATACTCACTATTTCAGACATAAGAGTCAAAGACTTTCTTGCCTATTTCAACTTGTATTGCGTGTCAAAGCACTGGTCGAATTAAATTTGAATACGGCCATCGGTCACCCGTCGAGTTGCTAGCCTCTACGTACTCTGTCTCCCAAGTTATCGACCCGTTTGTTGAGAAGGTGTGCAAGATCAGTGTCACTTTCACCAAGTGCATCCTAGCAGTGAAAACGAAACATGTACCATGGTCTCCTGCCCGTACGCGTCAGACATCTGCCATTGTGCATCAAGACTGGTTGATTTACTGAGATGTTTCTTATTTGGTAAAATGCGCCCCATTCTAAGCTGTTAACAAAAATGCAACTGGATATTGATTTCTAAAGGAGTATTATTTCTCTCAAAGAACACAATTCTGGAATCAACCAATTGTTTAGAAGATAGTTGACATTGCTGGCGGTGAACAACGTGGTCGAAATCTGGGGAAAGTGTTTAGAGGTTGAACGGGCCAATTTTATCCATCACCACCGCCATCCCCCGCACCCTCATCCATACCCCTCACCACCCACTCCCCCACCCCCAGTTGATTTTAGAACTTGACGACACTTTGGGCTTCCCTGGGGTTTTCCAACAGCGTTCGCAGCTGGCGGCAATGGTCAACTTCCAGTAGTCGCGAACGTCTGGGAACCAACGAGCGTGCGTGGGATTTCCACCTGGCAGGCATTGAGCGAGCGTTTCTGCAGCCAGGAGTACTGTCTGAGTCACAGGCGTAACTACACACAACCACCGTCTGCATATAAAACAGCAGTCTGCACTGCCAAGCCATCACACACCTCTGGCATCCAGCCGCATCAACGACGCTAGCAGCTGCTTGCAGAATATCAGGTATGTATGACTCCCCGTTCCCAACAGATTAACAGACAAACACCTGCATACGCAGCTGAAGGGTGAAGTCTCCGATCATTGCAGCTGCATCACGTCATATCGACCTCTTTGAATGCTTCGTTCATACACGATGTGTACGCAGTATGCGTTATTACGGGTCCATGTTTGAAATTGTGCAAGTTGCTGCCCTCAGTTACAATTGTGCACATCGCCATTCGGAATTCCACTTTTTGTATCCGTAACGCCTCTGCCTGGTATCCAATAACACTGGCGTCCCTCCTTTCTCAGCCATGAAGTATTTCGCCGTGCTGGCCACGCTCGCCGTCCTGTCGGCGGCCGACGGTAGGCGCCTCTTCAAGCGGCCGCAGCTGTTCCGTCCAGTGTTCGTCGGCGGCGACGCCTCCGGCCAGGCCGACGGCTCCGTCACCTCCGGTGTCTCGGAGACGGCGTTCGGACGAGACCAGATCGACTCGGCCGTCTCCAGCGTTCGCGGCCAGGCCAACGGTCTGGGCAGCAGCAGCACCAACACGGCCAACGCCGACACGCGTCGCTCCGAGAGCGCGCTGGGCGTGCAGCGGACCTCCGACACGAATGCCGTCTCGGTGCAGGACAGCAACGGCGCCGTGCTGCTGCCGGTCGGCGGTCTGTTCCAGCGGCCGTCGCTGTTCAAGCCGGCGCTGCTGCTCGGCGGCGCGGCGTCCGGCTCCGCCGACGGCTCGGTGACGACCGGCACGTCCGATGGCGTCAACGGCTTCACCCGCGTCACGTCCGTCACGTCCAACGCCGACGGCAGCGTGCACGGCAGTGGCAGCAGCGTGAGCGTGGCCAACGCCAACAACCAGCGAACGGAGACGGTCGATGGCGTCTCTGAGACGTCCGACACGGGCGCTGTCTCGGTGCAGAACACCGGACGCTGAAGGCACCGCATCATAAGGTCGTGAGTCATACCTCAATGTTCGTCACGGTTTGAGAACAGGGATGGACTTCCATGGCTCGCTTAATGTCGATAATGTGTGTTGTTAATGGCTGTCAAGTATTACCCCCAAAGATGAAGACACGACGTGCAATACAAATTGAGGATGTGACATGACAAATGATGATGAGGACTGACAAGCCTTTGCAAGGCGCTGTTCGACAGTGCGTCACAAGGCGTTTCCAAGGAAGACGTCGCTCGAGATGGCGTCGCCAAACATGTGGTATGACTTCATAACACTGACTTACCTTTTGTACTCTGCCAGCGCAAGACAGTACAAAAGTATCTTCATATAGCACACTATTTCTTTGTTGCGTTCACGTTAGCATCCAAGCGAACTAGTAAATCCCGCGCCTTCAGTCTGGACGTAGGTCGCCGCCTCAAGGTACGGGTCTGAAGTACCCTTTTCACTTCACTTGTGTGCACACCTGGTTTTGATGGCGTGCGTCGTGCGACTCGGTGTAGCAGACACCGTCATGGGACGAAGAAGTACACAATCTTCAAAAGCTAGCGATATCTGGGCCCTAGACCCTACTCTTGAGGGCGCCGTATTAAATAGCGCACGGGCAGTGCCGTCCGCCTGTGGTTCTTTCATGGTCCATTAATGCACCCGGGATGGTAAATCCATGCGGAAACAATGCATTCCGATGCACTGTTTTCATCCTGGTTCTGTTTCTACGCCTTTTTCAGAGAGGCTGGGGATGAACATCTAGACAGAAGAGAGAAGCTGAAGACACCTAGAAGTATTGTGCGTTTTACCGGATTATATTTGCATGATTTGTTGATGTGTGCTGCATGATAATCATGCAGTTCGAAATGGATGTCCGACACACACACGTGGCCAACATAGAGCTTGTCGAGAGGTTCTTCGATCCACTGTAGAAATGGCCTGCCTTTGTTAAGGTAGGTGCCACCAAAGGAATTTCTTGACAGACAGGGGAATACCCAGCTTGGTGCATTTTGCTCGCCGAAAATTGTCGCTTCATGAGGGTTGCCCAGCGGCATTACGCACATTGAGCTAGTTTCTGTTGGAGCTTGCACCAAGCGACTTTAACGTCATGCTGCTAACAGACACCGACATATTTGTCCTGCGCAGTAACAGGACTGCAGCTGGTCTCAGGTAAAGGCCAGGATGCATGCAGACAGGGACCCATCACCGGCTTTTCATCTTTTTGTAGAGTTGCGTCTCTTAGCATCAAGACAACTCCAAACAATGGAGCTGGGAAAGGGAAGAGGGAGCCTATTGCTGGAGGACCTTGCCGCCAATATTCCTGGCATCTCACCTCTCCAACATCCGCATAAGTAATGCAGAGCAGGGGATGTGGAGCAAAGAAACTACCAATTAAATATAGATGTAAGTACAAGAGGACCAAGTTAACATGGCTGAACCTTTCAACCACTGTGAAAATGGCTTCTGCGTAGCTGTCTTGCATGTTTCATGGTTCCACACCGTTCGAATTACCGCTTCACTAGCTAGGCCAAACAATTTTGTTCGCATGACTGCACCTTCCAAAGTCGCGCCCCATACATGGCACAGCTATCATGACCCAGACCTTCCCCTGATGTCCGAGTGAATACACGCCGAGCTATTACGGCTCGAGTCCACGCCACGATGCTCTTGCTTGTTGCACACCAGTTCCGGCCAATACCGCCTGTCACGTGGCTGCCTACGTGCAGCCGCGGACACGGCAGGCGGTTTCATGCAAGGTCGTGCTTGATTCATGTAGGACTGGTTTTGATCTACCCCATGCCAGCTACGTATATTTCACTAGATTTTTCAGCCCTCTTATTCAGAATCGGTCTCTTTCCAGTCGGCTTTATTCGGAGCCGGGCTTCGGGAGTCACAGTCGGTCGCGAACCATTTGGTTTCCAACGATGGTGATGAACTGCTTACCAAATCCGAGGAAATGACGTCACAGAACTCCGCGCCGCCTCTCTCGCATCAGGAACTTCTCTCCCTGGCGGACGTGTACGGGACCAACTGTGAACGCTATGAACCGAGAGTTGCGAACATTAAGAAGTGTGCACGTCGGGATCCGTGAACATTAGGTACAATAAACGTTAGGTGTGAGCATAAAAACTGTGAACATTGTGAGCTGTTGACATTATGAGCTTCTGACTTCATCACGCAACGACAATATTAGCATCTTATCCCTATGAACCATTTCTAGCACAGGACGTTAGTTATCAAGATATGGAGATCCAGACTACCCAACTGCAGCGCGGCATATGCCCCGTTCAATATTTTATATTTGGAAGTCAAAGCTGGAGTATCACATTCAAATGAATGCCCCGGTGTGCGGGAGGGGTTAGGTTCAGCAGGAAGTCTTCATGTTTGGATAGACTGCCCATTTCCTTATCCGCACTGTTCATGTCCTCTATACGGGAGCATTCATTTGTATGCGATGCTCGAGTGAGACTGTCAATTATATCGTCTTAAGCAAAACACATTCTGTGCTGGTTTTTGGATGCTAAGTCTTCATGCATTTTTTTCATGAACGCGCAAGCACCCGGTAACATGCCTTTGTCACAGTCATCGAAAAGTGCGAAACATCGAAAATGGTGACTAAATGAACTTCTACATAGCTTTGGGGTTAAAGTGTAATTGCATGCGCAGTTACGGTATTTGCATGATGATGGTGTTGTGTGTTTTTCTTTTCAAGCTGAAAACTGTGCGTGTGATTTTTAGGCCCAACGATGCAGCTGTTGTCAGCATTGAAACGCGGTGTATATATTTTCACATGTACTAAAAAAAAGTGCTAGTTTGGCCGTATGCTTGCCACAAGGATGCACCACAAGAATTGTATAGAGGAGAGGAATCAACACATTTTGTGCGGCGTACTCTTCAGTGAGACAAATACAAGGGTGGTGTTCATAGATATTTGCAACAACAAAAAAACTCTGGACTTGGCCATAGCTCCCAAACGCCAGGTGTTCTGAGTGAACAATCCTTTCTTGGCAATGTCATCTAACCATTACCCCCTACCGTACTGAATACTCACTATTTCAGACATAAGAGTCAAAGACTTTCTTGCCTATTTCAACTTTTATTGCGTGTTAAAGCACTGGTCGAATTAAATTTGAATACGGCCATCGGTCACCCGTCGAGTTGCTAGCCTCTACGTACTCTGTCTCCCAAGTTATCGACCCGTTTGTTGAGAAGGTGTGCAAGATCAGTGTCACTTTCACCAAGTGCATCCTAGCAGTGCAAACGAAACATGTACCATGGTCTCCTGCCCGTTCGCGTCAGACATCTGCCATTGTGCATCAAGACTGGTTGATTTACTGAGAGGTTTCTTATTTGGTAAAATGCGCCCCATTCTAAGCTGTTCACAAAAATGCAACTGGATATTGATTTCTAAAGGAGTATTATTTCTCTGAAAGAAAATAATTCTGGAATCAACCAATTGTTTAGAAGATATTTGACATTGCTGGCGGTGAACAACGTGGTCGAAATCTGGGGAAAGTGTTTAGAGGTTGAACGGGCCAATTTTATCCATCACCACCGCCATCCCCCGCACCCCCATCCATACCCCTCACCACCCACTCCCCCACCCCCAGCCGATTTTAGAACTTGACGACACTTTGGGCTTCCCTGGGGTTTTCCAACAGCGTTCGCAGCTGGCGTTAACTGTCAACTTCCAGTAGTCGCGAACGTCTGGGAACCAACGAGCGTGCGTGGGATTTCCACCTAGGCAGGCATTGAGCGAGCGTTTCTGCAGCCAGAGGTGTCGTCTGAGTCACAGGCGTAACTACACACAACCACCGTCTGCATATAAAACAGCAGTCTGCACTGCCAAGCCATCACACACCTCTGGCATCCAGCCGCATCAACGACGCTAGCAGCTGCTTGCAGAATATCAGGTATGTATGACTCCCCGTTCCCAACAGATTAACAAACACCTGCATACGCAGCTGAAGGGTGAAGTCTCCGATCATTGCAGCTGCATCACGTCAAATCAACCTCTTTGAATGCTTCGTTCATACACGATGTGTACGTAGTGTGGTATAACGGGTGCATGTTTGAAATTGTGCAAGTTGCTGCCCTCAGTTACAATTGTGCACATCGCCATTCGGAGTTCCACTTTTTGTATCCGTAACGCCTCTGCCTGGTATCCAGTAACACTGGCGTCCCTCCTTTCTCAGCCATGAAGTATTTCGCCGTGCTGGCCACGCTCGCCGTCCTGTCGGCGGCCGACGGTAGGCGCCTCTTCAAGCGGCCGCAGCTGTTCCGTCCAGTGTTCGTCGGCGGCGACGCCTCCGGCCAGGCCGACGGCTCCGTCACCTCCGGTGTCTCGGAGACGGCGTTCGGACGAGACCAGATCGACTCGGCCGTCTCCAGCGTTCGCGGCCAGGCCAACGGTCTGGGCAGCAGCAGCACCAACACGGCCAACGCCGACACGCGTCGCTCCGAGAGCGCGCTGGGCGTGCAGCGGACCTCCGACACGAATGCCGTCTCGGTGCAGGACAGCAACGGCGCCGTGCTGCTGCCGGTCGGCGGTCTGTTCCAGCGGCCGTCGCTGTTCAAGCCGGCGCTGCTGCCCGGCGGCGCGGCGTCCGGCTCCGCCGACGGCTCGGTGACGACCGGCACGTCCGATGGCGTCAACGGCTTCACCCGCGTCACGTCCGTCACGTCCAACGCCGACGGCAGCGTGCACGGCAGTGGCAGCAGCGTGAGCGTGGCCAACGCCAGCAACCAGCGCACGGAGACGGTCGATGGCGTCTCTGAGACGTCCGACACGGGCGCTGTCTCGGTGCAGAACACCGGACGCTAAACGCACTGCATCATATGGTCGTGAGTCATTGCTCAATGTTCGTCGCGGTTTGAGAAGAGGGATGGACTCCCATGGCTCGTTTGCTGTTGATAATGTGTGTTGTTAATGGCTTTCAAGTATTACCCCCAAAGATGAAGACACGACGTGCAATACAAATTGAGGATGTGAGACTGACAAGCCTTTGCAAGGCGTTGTTCGACAGTGCGTCACAAGGTGTTTCCAAGGAAGACGTCGCTCGAGATGGCGTCGCCAAACATGTGGTATGACTTCATAACACTGACTTTCCTTTTGTACTCTGCCAGCGCAAGACAGTACAAAAGTATCTTCATATAGCACACTATTTCTTTGTTGCGTTCACGTTAGCATCCAAGCGAACTAGTAAATCCCGCGCCTTCAGTCTGGACGTAGGTCGCCGCCTCAAGGTACGGGTCTGAAGTACCCTTTTCACTTCACTTGTGTGCACACCTGGTTTTGATGGCGTGCGTCGTGCGACTCGGTGTAGCAGACACCGTCATGGGACGAAGAAGTACACAATCTTCAAAAGCTAGCGATATCTGGGCCCTAGACCCTACTCTTGAGGGCGCCGTATTAAACAGCGCACGGGCAGTGCCGTCCGCCTGTGGTTCTTTCATGGTCCATTAATGCACCCACAATGGTAATTCCACGCGAAAACAATGCATTCCCATGCATCGTATTTATCCTGGTTCTGTTTCTATGCCTTTTTCGGAGGGGCTGGGGATGAACATCTAGACAGAAGAGAGAAGCTGAAGACACCTAGAAGTATTGTGCGTTTTACCGGATTATACTTGCATGATTTGTTGATGTGTGCTGCATGATAATCATGCAGTTCGAAATGGATGTCCGACACGCACATGTGGCCAACATAGAGCTTGTCGAGAAGTTCTTCAATCCACTGTGGAGATGGCCTGCCTTTGTTAAGGTAGGTGCCACCGAAGGAATTTCTTGGCAGACAGGGGAGTACCCAGCTTGGTGCGGTTTGCTCGCCGAAAATTGTCGCTTCATGAGAGTTGCCCAGCGGCATTACGCACATTGAGCTAGTTTCTGTTGGAGCTTGCACCAAGCGACTTCAGCGTCCTGCTGCTAATAGACACCTTATTTTTCCTGTGCGATAACAGGACTGCAGCTGGTCTCAGGTAAAGGCCAGGTTGTATGCAGACAGGGACCCATCACCGGCTTTTCATATTTTTGTAGAGTTGCGTCTCTTAGCATCAAGACAACCCAAGCCATGGAGCTGGGAAAGGGCAGAGGGAACCTATTGTTGGACGGCCACTTACCTTGCCGCCAATATTCCTGACATCTTACCTCTACAACATCCGCATAAGTAAGACTTGCTTACGGAGCAGGAGGTATGGAGCAAAGAAACAACCAATTGAATATAGATATAAGTATAAGATGACCAAATAATATGGCTGAACATGTCAACTGCTGTGAAAATAGTTTCTGCGTAGTTGTCTTGCATGTTTCAAATAGAAATCGAGAATATGAAACTGACGAGCCTTTGTTGTGCGTTGTTTGACAGCGTGTCACAAGGCGTTTTCAAGGAAGACGTCGCCCGGTTGCTAAGACGGAAGCGGGTAACGTGCCGACCACCGAGGAACTAGGTCACCACTGAGCTCAGGCTTTATGCTGTTCTTTTGCGGAATAAGAGCTATTTTTGTGTCTCGTGGTTGCAGCTGTCAGAGACCTTCGCTCGTCAGTCAGCTATGTTAACTAATGAGTCGAGCAACTGTTCTCGCAGATCTGGCTGGTTAACGAAATAAAAATATACCCAACCATTGCTATCCCATTTTATATCATGATGTACTATTTATGTATGCATCTTCCATATAACAGCTGCTACGAATTTATATTAACATAGGTCACTGTATGTCGCATGTTTTAAGCATCTGTTTAACACAATATGCTTTCAACGACAAAGCGCGTAGGGGAGATGCAGCGCCTTCCGCCGGGATATAGGCCGCCGCCCCCGAGCACGGGTATGAGGTATCCCTTTCACTTCACTGCCGCGCACCAGCCTGCCTGGCGTGTGTGACGTTCGACGTACGACTCGGTGTAACAGAGTCGTAAGTCGTAAGGGTAACTCGGTGTAACCCTTAATCGGACGACAAGTGCAAAATCTTCGGGAGCTTGAGAGTCTGGGCCCGAGACCCTACTCTTGCGAGCACTATTCTAAATAGCGCATGGACAACGCCGTCGGTCTGTGGTTTACACACATTCCGCTAATGCACCTACTAGGGTAATTCCATGTGAAAACGATACATTCCGGCGCATTGCTTCTATGCTGGTTTCGTTGCCATGCTTTTCAGGGGGACGGATGTCTAGGCAGACGCGAGGAGGCAACTAAGAAATACCTAGTGGCGAGATACTGCATATTTTCCCGGAGTATATTTGCGCGGTTTGTTCCTGTGAGCCGTATGGCAAACATGCTGTCCGACATTGATGTGCGACACGAACGTGTGGCCAGCATAAACTCGTCCTGAGGCCTTTCCACCCGCCGCGGAAATGGCCTGCTTTTGTTGAGGTAGCTGCCACCAAAGGGAATTGATGGCAGAGAGAACACACCCGGCGTGGCACGTCTTGTCCGCCGAAACTAGTCTCTTGATAGGAACCAACCAACGTCACTACGCACATTGGTCTAGTTTCTGTTGAAACTTCCATCGAACGACTTCAGCGCCATGTTGCTAATGCGCACCTGCATATTTGTCCTGTGCATTAGCACGACCGCAGCTGATCTTAGGCAAAGGTCAGATGATATGCATGCAGCCACCCGACCCTGGCTTTTAATCCTCTCGTAGAGTGGCGGCTCCTACTACCAAGACAACCCTCTGCCATGGGGTGGGGAAAGTGCACAGGGAACCTAGTGCTGGCAGTGCTATCTGCCTTGCCGCAGATATTGCTGGTACCTCACCTCTACAACATGCGCATAAGTAAGACTCGTTATGGAACAGGATGTATGGAGCATAGAAAGAAAGCAATTGAATATAGATATACGGCCAACAGGATCGAATGAGTATTACTGAGCATTTCAACCACTGTGAAAATGGTTTCTGCGTATCTGTCTTGCATGTTTCATGGTTCCACGCCGTTCGAACCACTTACTTCACTACTTAGGCGGAAAAATTCTGTTCGCATTGTTATGCCTTTCAAAGTCGCAGCCGTATACATGGCACAGCTATCATGACCCAGACCTTCCCATGATGTCCGAGTGAATACACGCCGAGCTATTGCGGCTCGGGTCCACGCCACGATGCTCTTGCTTGATGCACGCCAGTTCCGCCCAGTACCGCCTGTCACGTGACTGCCTACGTACAGCCACGGACACGACTGGCGGTTTCATGCAGGGTCGTGCCTGATTCAGGTAGGACTGGTTTTGATCTACCTCATGCCAGCTACGTATATTTCACTAGATTTTATCAGCCCTCCTATTCAGAATCGGCCTCTTTCCAGTCGGCTTTATTCGGAGCCGGGCTTCGGGAGTCACAGTCGGTCGCGAACCATTTGGTTTCCAACGATGGTGATGAACTGCTTACCAAATCCGAGGAAATGACGTCACAGAACTTCGCGCCGCCTCTCTCGCATCAGGAACTTCTCTCCCTGGCGGACGTGTACGGGACCAACTGTGAACGTTATGAACCGAGAGCTTCGAACATTAAGAACTGTACACGTCGGGATCTGTGAACATTATGTACAGTAAACATTAGGTGTGAGCATGAAAACTGCGAACATTGTGAGCTGTTGACATTATGAGCTTCTGACTTTCTCACGCAACAATATTAGCGTTTTATCCCTATGAACCATTTTTAGCACAGGACGTTAGTTATCAAGATATGGAGATCCAGACTACCCAACTGCAGCGCGGCATATGCCCCGTTTAATATTTTATATTTGGAAGTCAAAGCTGGAGTATCACATTCAAATGAATGCCCCGGTGTGCGGGAGGGGTTAGGTTCAGCAGGAAGTCTTCCTGTTTGGATAGACTGCCCATTTCCTTATCCGCACTGTTCCTGTCCTCTATACGAGAGCATTCATTTGTATGCGATACTCGAGTTTTGACTGTCAATTATATCGTCTTAAGCAAAACACATTCTGTGCTGGTTTTTGGATACTAAGTCTTCATGCATTTTTTTATGAACGCGCAAACACCAGGTAACATGCCTTTGTCGCAGTCATCGAAAAGTGCGAAACATCGAAAATTGTGACTAAATGAACTTCTACATAGCTTTGGGGTTAAAGTGTAATTGCATGCGCAGTTACGGTATTTGCATGATGATGGTGCTGTGTGTTTTTCTTTTCAAGCTGGAACCTGTGCGTTTGATTCTTAGGCCCAACGATGCAGCTGTTGTCAGCATTGAAACGCGACGTACATATTTTCACATGTACTAAACAAAGTGCCAGTTTGACCGTATGCTTGCCACAAGGATGCACCACGACAATTGTATAAAGGAGAGGAATCAACACATTTTGTGCGGCGTACTCTTCAGTTAGACAAATACAATGGTGGTGTTCATAGATATTTGCAACAACAAAAAAACTCTGGACTTGACCATAGCTCCCAAACGCCAGGTTTTCTGAGTTAACAATCCTTTCTTGGCAATGTCATCTAACCATTACCCCCTACCGTACTGAATACTCACTATTTCAGACATAAGAGTCAAAGACTTTCTTGCCTATTTCAACTTGTATTGCGTGTCAAAGCACTGGTCGAATTAAATTTGAATACGGCCATCGGTCACCCGTCGAGTTGCTAGCCTCTACGTACTCTGTCTCCCAAGTTATCGACCCGTTTGTTGAGAAGGTGTGCAAGATCAGTGTCACTTTCACCAAGTGCATCCTAGCAGTGAAAACGAAACATGTACCATGGTCTCCTGCCCGTACGCGTCAGACATCTGCCATTGTGCATCAAGACTGGTTGATTTACTGAGAGGTTTCTTATTTGGTAAAATGCGCCCCATTCTAAGCTGTTCACAAAAATGCAACTGGATATTGATTTCTAAAGGAGTATTATTTCTCTCAAAGAAAACAATTCTGGAATCAACCAATTGTTTAGAAGATAGTTGACATTGCTGGCGGTGAACAACGTGGTCGAAATCTGGGGAAAGTGTTTAGAGGTTAAACGGGCCAATTTTATCCATCACCACCGCCATCCCCCGCACCCTCATCCATACCCCTCAC